CCACAAAAATCAATGGAAGAAGAAATAAAACCACATCATTACTACATAACGGGAATAATGGAACAACGAAAATATTTAATATTAATAGATACAGGACGAGAAGAAAACTATATTACAAGAGAATTAGTGACGGAAGATGAAATAATAACTACTGAACAATCATGCCCCGAACTACCAAAAGCATTAATGTATACCGAAGAAACTACAGAAAAGGAAATAATCATTGGAGGAGTACCAATAGTGATAAAATTTGCAATCTATGATATGTTCCCTTTGACTTACTACATAATATTCTTCTTTTTGTCGTTTAAATCAGTTTCTTATTGTTGGTATTTCGAATATTTTTGCTACGCTTAGGTCTAATTCTTTTCCTTTTATTTGTTCAAATATACTATTATCAAATATTATCTTTTGTTCTAAAGATTCTTCGTCTTGATGTTCTTCTTGTATTGACTGAACTCATTTGACGTTCAAAAGTGGTAGAGCTTTCGGAAGACTTAAAGCTTGGCTCAAATTGACATAAGCTAAGGCCTAGACTTCTAATGGGGGAATATGTTCTTAATTAAGCAATTTGATATGGATTAAAGTAAGGGGCAACATATACACGAGGTGATTTTGGAATTTATTTCTCAAATTTCACCAATCTTATTTTTTATCTTCAATCTTCCCATCTTTTGTTCCCACAGTATTTTATTGTTTTTTGTTTAAGTAACCTTATTTCCATCAGTCTGTGTGAACTCTATCTGATGGTAGATAAATATCTTACTACTTTGCATGTGGTTGTATATAGTTTATAAACTTTGCTACACTTCACATAGATGAAACTAGCAAAGTATGTGAAGCTCCCATTTCAAGAACTACAATGGTCCTAAGGTTATATAAACTCGAAACGCATGAGAAGCTTCACAGAACTGTACTTCTCTCCTTTCCGATCGTAGAGTGGTACTGCTCGGATACCTTGTCGCAGCTCTGCCACAGGTAGACATGTTTGGCCAGCAAACTCATCCTTGTCAGACAAATTATAATCAAGAACTTTGATACGAAGTAGAGCCAACTCAGGAACTGTTAGTGGAAACTCAAACTGCTCATCCCAGCTTGGTATCCAATTGTCGTCCATCGTCTTTGTTCTCTTCTTTACTTCATCAGCAGGAACTCCAGCAATTCCTAGCTGTACATAGTTTTACATCTTAACCATTCAGTATTTTATTCATCTACCTTTGCAAGAAGACGACAAAGAGTATTGAAGGATAACGATCGATGGTAAGTATTATTCATCTACCTTTGCATAGAAATCTGGAGGTGAGTACGTGTCGAAGTGTGTCTGATCGAAGTCTTTGTCCCACCCATCACCCATATATACAGTCACCTGCTTAATGCAGGAAGACTTGGATCAGTTTCAAGAACAATGGAACTTAAGTTACAAGAAGGACATCCTACTACGTCAACGAGGAAATTACCATCCCTCATTTACCTTTAGTGTAGTTTTGACAGGCAAATTTGCTGTAGGATCGAAGACCTCGTTGTTGGGACCAGCTTTCAATAGTAGATCAGGTTTCTTAACATATCCACAGCCACCATTAGCCCTGAACATACCATGCATCAACCAAAGTGATCTTCCATAACCCTGTCATAGGACACTTACTTAGCACCTATTTCCTTGGAACTTTGGTAATTAGTTACTAACAGGATGCGAATGAATAACACCCGTCAGGTTAAATACATGTTTTAGAGACTAGAGTTAAACAATCCAAAGGATCGTTACTGAAAGGGTGCAGTCTAATTTGAAGTTTATTCCCATTCCCAACAATAGTAAAAGAAACTATCAACCAAGAATCAAATGATTTCAATTCCAAATTTATAGCATTTAACTTGGCATAACTGGTGACTAAATCAAACAAAACCGTTCACACGGAAATCTATTTCATATGAAGCTTAGCTTCTAGTACACAAGTAATAAATGGGGCTCATACTTATGGGTGTTGCTCCTCTCCAATTCTCAAGAAATGGGGACATGCTTATTCTTTCACTAAATTTCACCACTCACAATTCCTTTGATATGTGGTTAGGATTCAAAGTAACCAACTATTCTAGTATTCAAAACATTGCACTTTTAAAGAAATACTCAAGTATTAGCTTTTTCTTACAACAGTAAGTTGTTATGTTAATTGATAAACATGCAAAACAAAGAAGAAATAACAATAAAGTTTAATCCTCCCTCCCTCCGAAAGTTTTAGACAATTTAGTTTTCGGGAGATAGATTCTCGGTCTTAAATCTATAACACACATTTAACCATATTTGCTACTCACTCCGTATCAATTCAAGTGGCATGATTTGATAGTGTCATAACATTTGGGTCACAATAAGACTTTTGAAATTTGTGGTTTTAAATATATCATAATAATATTTGTGTGGTTATAAAAGCTTGTCACTAAGGGTGAAATTGAAAGTTTAAGTTATATTTTTTTCAAATGTAGAAATTGTCATTCTTTTAGGAACGGACTAAAAAGAAAATGTTGACACACTAAAAAAGAAAGTGCATCATATAAATGGGACAGAAGGACTATGATATTACTATGCCTATGCTATTAACACAAAACAAAAGGTTGGCTACATAAAAGATAATAGGAATCTTCAAGAGGGCACAAGTCATGTTTGAAATCTTATATTCACATAAAAAATATCAGCAACGAAGAACTAAGAAGAGGATAGCTGAAAATGCATGAAAAATTATTCTTTCTAATTAACCTAATGATTACACAATTTTACTTTTCTTTCTACAGGACGGAGAAAGGCGCCCAACCTGCATATTAAATGCTACCATTTGAGCTCCATGCATCCAACCAACAAAAGGATCATAATTGGATGAGTCAACTCGTATGCCCTTTGGGTATATTCTCAGCAAGTTCTGCTGAGTGAACCTACAACAAACCATCATGAGGATATACACAATTAATTAAGATGTCCTCTTGGGATATGCATGATATGAGTAAATTGCTTAGACAATTAATTAAAATGTTATCTCTGGAGATGGTGAATTCCCTGGTCCTAGGCTTGATCTTTTCACTAATGAAAATGTTGTCCTCAACTTGATAAATAAGTTAGATTAGCCCCTTTCTTAACTTGGTGAGTTTCCTTTTCCAACCTATCCGTTAATGTACTCACATTTGCTTGAATATGGCCTTAACATCTTAAAACCTACTTATTCACAGTTAATTTCGTTTATTGCACTTGTTTGTGAGAGCTTGTTCACATTGCCAATCCCAAGTCCGGATAAAGGAGGAGGGGGTTGCCGAGAGCTAATCGTAAACAACCTCTCTACCCCATAAAGGTAGGGGTGACACTGCATACATCTTACCTTCCCCAAACCCCACTTGTGAGATTACACCGGGTTTGATGTTGTTGTTTTCTTTGCATATGCACAGTTGTAAGTTACATATCCATGGTATAAGAAAATTGCAGAAACCTTCACATGCATGCACATGGAAACTTGTACACTATATCAGACACAATAAGACAAGTCAATTCTGCTACAGCCAAATATTTTGAAGTAGCAGATATGTTAAACTCAGACATCTTAATTTATTCATGCAAAAAAGAGAATAAAGAATAGGAGCAAATGAAATGTTAAAGTCAGTGTGTTAGTTATTCAACTTCCATTGAGATGTTCTCGCTATACATAGCATGTATAGATCAATTCACCATTACATAACTAACATCACAAACAGCAGAGGAACTTTGTATCCAATTGATGGATGAATAAAGAGAAATACCTGATAATTTCTTTTGAATGAGTATCTACAGCTTTTTCAAGTTCTGGTTCACTGAGACTCAGCCGTCTTACTTTATTGAGGTCAACCCTCAACCAATCAGATAGTCCTCCTTTCCCCTTTCCAGCATGAATGGCAATTAGGCGCTTGTATTCTGACGCTGCCTTCTTCTCTGACTTTGGATCTTCTTCATCATCTTCATCTTCATCTTCGTCTTCTTCTTCATCAACGTCATCCTGCTGGAAAACATTGTGTGGTAGGTCAATCAAAGAATTTGGTGAAGAAGTGGACACAACGAATAACTGGATTGGAAACTAGTAATGCAATTTTCACACCTCAGCTTCTTTCTTTGTGTCATCTTTTTCCTTAACTTCCTTGGATTGTAAGTATTCTTTTGGTGGCTTAGTTGATATCATAACACGCTTTCTCAGTGACTCCGGAGAAGGAAGCTCCTTCAGACTTTCTGAAGGAGAAAACAGCATGTCTCCAAATGTTTGGGTGATCATCTAGTATGTAGTCAGAAAAGCATTATTATGATCAAAACAGGCCGTAATCTTATCCAGAAAACGCACATATACACACCTCGGCCACTTTTTCCTGAAGATCTGGCATGAGATGATCTTCAAGTGTTATTACAACAGGATACTCCGATGCAGAAAAGGCATGCTCCTTGATAGACCTCAAACATTTGATTAGCGCCACTGGAGCAGTCAGTGTCCTGTGTGAAAAAACTAACACTCAAAACTGCAATGAGAATGAAAAAGTACAACCACTATAAGGGGAACTCAATCTGAATTTTCACATGTTTAAAAAAACCCAAAACCTCATTAAGAATAACATATAGTGTTAAATTAAGAAAAGTTTTAGCTAGTCTTCTGCAGTTTTTGAATTCAACCTTGAGGAGAAAAGTATACTTCAAAGAAATTTCAAGAATTAAGGTAAGCCAAGAGCTATTACTTTCTGATATTAAATCGTAAAGGATTGTGATAGGTTTGAAATTTTGAATACTTCTGGTAAAAGAAGCCTACTCTTGAATTCAGCAGTGATGACTGACCTAGCACTATAAAATTTTCCTTTGGGCTGTTTTCTAGAACTAGAAATGTTTATCCTGTAATAGAGAGATAGCCATTTCTCTCTGTATGAAGGCAGCGGACGTTAGCCTCTACCAACTCCGGTACTAAAAGCTATGTCCTTTTCCAAAAAGAAGGGCAGCATAATACCACCAGATCTCTATTACAATTAGGGAAAGCTCCTGTTGGTCCTAAAATCATAAATTCACATCTTAGGTGATTCCAGCTTGTTAGAGGGCCTTTTAGTTTAATTATCTTGCAAGTCATAAAAAGGAAAAAGTTGTCATGTTTCTAGTTGTTAGGAAACCTTAGGATCCAGCATGTAACTGTGAATGTTTTCCTTGAAATTTGTGCTAACTGCTTTATATTAAAACTCTTATGGAGTAAGAATCATGAAGACATTTTCAGGCTATTTCTTAGATGGAAATGCATACAGGATCATCCTGTAATCACTGCATTTGGATTGCGCCATGTGACAAAAATGAAATTGTTCTAGCAACACTTTGCTTCACCACCAATCTACATCCCCGATCTCCTCTTGCCTGCTTGTTGACATAGTAGCCCCTTTTCACCTTACCAGCTGTCTTATATGGGCGAGGATACAAGATGATGCCAACCATCCGCCATGCAAACAGACAATTAATAAACATATTTTTTTTCTCACATCAGATTGAATATGATCCCCATTAGATTGCTTTCACCTTTTAACTCAAATGTAAGCATGATATCATATTTTCCTTGTCATAATCTGTTCGTTGGGTATCTCCATGGCCATTGCATCTCTGACTAATCTATTCAACAGTAATATCAACTACTGACTGCTGGATATCTGGTCAACACAAGTCCAGCAGGTTCAGTTTGGTCGATTGGTTTCATAAAACAACTGCAGGTCCCTTTTTCCTCAGACATGGCATGCTCTAAAATGGTGCCAACAACATGGTCTTTTAGGAACTATCAGTTAATTAGATTATGTGAGCCGTCTCATCTAAAAGTTTAAACTATACTTAGAGAGGGACACACTTTCATTTTAATTAATTATCTGTTAACACTTCCCACCTGAAATGATTTTCTCAAACTTCATCTAATTAATTTATGGTAAAAATTTTGTACCATAGTAATATAACAATCTGGAGATGTTGTGATGTGTTGTATGAACTCTTAAAATGCAAATTTCCTCCAAATAATTAAAAGGAAAAGAAGCTCATTAACCAAAGCAACAAGACACCTAAAGCACAACTGCACACAACAATTACAAGAACCTTCCAAAAGCTTTAGCACACACATAATATGGATTTAGTAAGTAGAACTTGTCCATTTTCTTGCCAGCTATAATCTTACACTCTTGGTCTTAATCAGTTAGCGTTCTTGGTTTAGTGCTTCGTATTCATGTAGAAATGCATAGCATGTCTATATAATATAAGTAAAGATATGCTTGTACATTATACACAAAAGCATAAGCTTATTTATGAGGTTAATTTTAGCTCATTATTAGTGCAAATGAAAGCAAATGTGCTGCAAACTTTTAGAGTCTAGCTTTCGATTTGTCAGTAAAAAATATAGAAAGCTAAGGGTGATAGAAAAAAACTAGAACATGACACACCTTCCATGTAGAACTTCTATATCATCTTTGTCTGAATTTGGCCAAATATCTAATTCAATTACTCTGACACTTCTCTGAAGAGCTTGTATTATGGGGACATCACTGCAATCACTACTCAGTTGATTCCCAGTTAGATATGAATTATGGCCTGTGTATATGTAGTAATGAGACAGAGGTGCATTCATATCATGGTGAATCTGGAATCCAAAGAAGAGTACATCATGAGATTTATCCAAATAGAGTGGTGTCAGAACATCTAAATAAATCACAAATAGTGTAATATACTCCCTCCGTTTCAAAAAGATTGACTTGCTTTTCTTTTTAGTCTGTTTCAAAAATAATGAACTCTTTCCTTTTTTGACAACAAGTTAAGTTAGCTTTCTAGGTATCATATTTAAGGCTATAAAATTAAATGATATTTTAATACATTTGACATAATTTACTTTAGAATCACAAATTTTCTTAAATTTTGTGTCAAGTCAAATTAGATCATCCGAAAGGTGTGTATGATATGAAGGAAATGTCTTCCCTAATATAAATCATTTTTATATAGTAAGTGGGAAGGATTTGGTTAATCATAAAATCAAACTATTTGATTGAAAAATTGCAAAGAAACTCACTAATATTGTTCATGAAATTAAAATTAGTACCCCAAGTTTAGGATCGAGAGGAGGATTAACGTACCCCAAGTTTAGGATCGAGAGGAGGATTAACATCAGAAAAGAGACACTTGAAGAAGCCATCGAGCTGGAGGCCTTTCTGATTGGAGTCGCCGCCGTGATTATTGATAATGGCTTCAGCGTTGTCTAAGCTCGCATTTTTCTCCTTCTGAATCTCAATTAAGAAACGATGAAGATTCTGGACGCTCATAACTCCGCTGTCGTCGGAATAACGTTTAAATAGGTTCTTAATGTCTGCCGGAGCTTCGGCGGCAGCC